CCGCCATATTGCAGGGCGGGTGCAAAAACATTGGTGCGAACGTGCGGCCACCAATGGCGCCCTTACTATTTTCTATTGAGTGAGTGAAAATTACCTTTTGACATTTGTCCTTTTTCTCAAAAAGTTACTATACAAGCAAATCCAATTTTTATTTTTGGATAATCGCTGCGTTTTTTCTGATATGTGGCGAGATTTCTTACTAATCGAAGGACAGCTGGAAGTAATAAAAAACGGCAGCTTTTGTTGCACACCTTGACCGACGTTTGAGCGATGATTCTTGTACAAATATACAAATATAAGCAGTAATAATGGCGGGCACCAAAGGACTCACACACTTAATGGACAAATACTCTTCCAAAGATCTGTTAAATAAACGAAATAACAAGAATCATCGCTCAAACGTCGGTCAAGGTGTGCAATAAAAGCCGCCGTTTTTTATTACTTCCTGTCCTTCGATTAGTAAGAAATCTCAGCCACATATCAGAAAAAACCCAGCGATTATCCAAAAATAAAAATTGGATATACTTGTATAGAAATTTTTTGAGAAAAAGTACAAAATGTCAAAAGGTAATTTTTATTCACTCAATAGGAAATAGTATAGGCGCCATTGGTGGCCGCGCGCTCGCCCCAATGTTTTTGCACCCTGCAATATGGCGGCAGAAACCTTGGAAAGGCCTATTGAGTATTGGCTATGGATCGTCATTTAAGAGAATTTTTTATAAAGTTTGGACATGCACACGTTCACAATTGTATATATTTACAATTGTATATATTTGTCATTTCTTTAACTGTATTGAGTTATTGATATTTTCCTGACATATCTATGTAAATATAATATATTATAATATCTATACTATGTAAATGTCACACAGTAATCAGTGTATCAAGCTGTTTGAAAAATGTATTATGTATATATGTGTGCAGCGTAAATATTGGGTTATTATATCATATGTATTTGAAGGCTTAGGGGAGGTTATAATTTCGTTCTACATATATATAAAGTGGAATAGTAATGTGTAAGCACTCACGTGAATGGACCTTGGCTACGTGTTAGCCTTTTAGTAAGTAAAAAATGTATGAAAATGACAGCAAGTGAATGTCATGTAATAGCCCCCTCCCCCAATAATATTTTAATTCAATGGCAGTGTTAGGGCAGTTATATATAGAAGCACCAAAACTAAGGCGCTTTTTTGCAATATTTCCAAACGTTTCACGCGAAAGACGGCGAATAGCCTCCTATCATACATATGTATTGAATGATGATTAAATTAAATTCCATTGTTAAAATTCAAACAGATGAAAACATATTCATTTCACAGATCTAAGGCTGGTATACTTTAATTTAGGGTATTATAATTAGTTGCGGTAGTAATCATGAGTTTATAAACTGGCGCGGTCCGCCGTCCACCGCCCGCTGTCCGCCGTCCGCGGTCCGCCATCCGCGGTCCGCCATCCGCGGTCCACGATCCGCCGTCCGCGGTCCACGATTCGCCGTCCGCCTTTTATCCGTCCGCTTTTTATCTACACCCGTCTAGAAAATAGAAATGGCTGTGATATTAAGGGCGAGGTTAAATTAAGGAATGCAGTAATACTAAAAATGCATTAACATGTAAGTAAACACAGCAACGCTTGTCAATCAGTCGCAAGTTACATCGAATTTCAGTCCGAATTTTACTTGATCGAATTTCAAAGTGAATTTCTGCAAATTACCCGACAAAACCTGTCACGTGTTTGTGTTCGCAAGAAGCCGCCAAGTGTTCCGCCACGCCAGAGCTATTTGAAAACAGCGTAGAAAAGTCACAATAAGCCATCGCTTTCACACTACGCTGGAGAAAAATCGCTTTCACGTCAGTTTTGCCGTAACAATTTGAGCACGGTTTCTAAACGGAGCGAGGTGAAAACGGAGCGCTTGATAGCTTCGTGTGAACACAAACATGTTAACTTGAATGCTTTTCAGTTAAATTTCTTGGCTCAATTTCAAATATTTTGGGTTTAATTTGTAAACAAACTGTAACGGCGTAATCTGAACACACATAAATTCTGCCCGCATTAGTTCGCTCGCGGGTAGTGCGAACGTAGTCTAATTTTTGGTGACGTTTTCAAACGGCGAGGTTGCCTTTAGAAAAATTTAGAAATAGTGGATGTCCGAGGGGGAGGGGGGTAATTCCGCCTCTGATGAGGGTAAATCATTCAGCGACGTGGGAAGCTCACCTAAATCGTGTAACATACATGACAAGGAAGCGATGAGCTTGGAGAATCTGCAAAATGAGTTCTTTGGTACCGCTCCAGTAATAGATAGTACATGCATGCTTGATATAAATTCAGAAATAAATAGTCAGAGTACGTGTGATAAATCTCCCAGCAATTACGATCCTTTATCGAATATCAAAGCGCTGAAAGGTTTCAAAATTGCGGCCCTTAATATTGCTAGTCTTGTAAGCCACATAGATGAATTAAAAATGGTCATGTCCAGCCAGACTCTTGATATTTTAGCAATTAATGAGACGCGTTTAGACAGCACAATTGCTGAATAGGATATTTCAATAATAGGATACAATGTAGTACGTAAAGATTGAAATAGACATGGGGGTGGAGTTCTGCTATACGTAAAGGAGACATGGAATTTTTTGACCAAACAAATAACTTCTGATATTGATCTTGAAATATTAACTATCGAGATTATAGGTAAATTCGTAAAACCATTTTTGGTTACTACCTGGTACAGACCTCCAGCAAGTGAATTAAATGTTCTTGATACATTTGAAACCTATCTCCAGTCGCTAGAAATGGAGGAAAAGGAATCTATAATACTAGGCGATTTCAACTGTAATGTCCTGGAGATAAATAAAACTCCACATACATCGAAACTTACTTCTCTATATGATGAATATCAGTATACTCAACTTATTAAACACCCTACACGTATTACAAGCAGTACGCAAACTTTAATTGATCACTTTGCTACAACAGCGTCTCATCGTATAAGGAGTAGTGGAGTATGTCACCTTTCTATCAGTGACCATAGTTTGATATATGCAGTGCGTCGTATGATAATACCACGCGAGCGACCTAGGATTATTGAGACTCGTAATTATAAAACCTTTGACATGAATGCATTTACCGACGATTTAAAAAAATACCATGGGAACTGTTAAACAGATTTCATGATCCTAATGAAATGTGGCGAATGTGGAAGGCTTTTTTTAATAGAGTTTTGGATGCTCATGCACCAATTAGAACTAAACGAGTTAGAAATCGTGATGCCCCGTGGATTACATCCGATATTAGAGACATGATGTTTCGTAGGGATTACCTAAAAAAACATGCTGTCAAAAATCGTTCTGAAGCAAACTGGTTTGAATACTGTAAAATGAGGAACAAGGTTAATAATAAGCTAAAAACATGCAAAAGAAATTACTTTATTCAAAACCTTGAGGCGAATAAAGACAACACCAAGAAAACGTGGAAATTGCTAAATAACCTTTTGAACAAACCTACCAAAGGGACTAATGTAAATATTTTAAAAAACGAATCGGGTATTATAAGTGATAAGAAACTTATAGCTGAAAATTTTAATGAACATTTTATTAAATTGCGACTGGACCTAGCCCGTGATATTCCGAGTACAACTTTAAAT